CCCAAACTCTCTATTGAGAGCTATAAACCTTCTGCAATTGATGCCTGACGCTTTAAGTTTTTCATATTGATGACTATTTAAAGGTCAACAGTTTGGTTTCAAACTGGTTCTATGGCTTCACTTTGATTCTAGAACGCTTTTGTTTCATACTTTCTGTTAGGCCCTTCGCTCGCCCTTCTGTGAGTCTGAAATTGGCCCAGTAGAGCCATCCAGACTTGTAAAAACCAGCTTACAGTTCAGCATCCTCATTACTGGGGAGGAGCCCTGCACAAAGGAAATTGCTTAGCAGAACACTAGACAGTTTGTACCTTCCTGAAAATCGAGCTCATTCACAAAAATGAAAGACTGGGGTATGTACCTGCCAAGTTCATAATTTTTAGTAGACTTTTTTGTTTTTCTATACTCTGTTAAAATAATGCTGTTTAGTGTTTTTAAGAGATTATAGTCTCCTAAGGTATTAAAACTTAATATCAAGAGAGTGGCCAGGAAGCTTCCTGTCATAGACCAGAAGAATCAGTTATGGTGGTTAAGCTATTTGTTAATGTGAAATCCATCAATTGCTACTAAAATGTCCATTTTGCTGTGCCATTTTCAAGAGTGAAAGCTGGCAGGCTTCAACATTTGTCTGCTTTGGTGCTTCTTCAAGCAAGGCCAGCAGAGCTGATACTTCTGGCTTCCCCTGAACTCAAGATACCACTGTGTGTTCGTGGTCTTTAATTATTTGTGAGGGGAATTAAAATTTTTGTGTGGTTTTTGAGACAATCCAGCCAGCTTCTAGCTTCTTTCTGTCTACTTCACTCTTTTGCCTTAGATTTAAATATTACTGTGTTTGGTAAAGGTACAAATGGTACGTGCTCAAGATGATAAACGTGAAACTAGAACCCTGGAAGTCCCTACGCTTCCCTGTGCTCCTCGGAAAGGCTTGCTTAGCATGACCTGTTGGTTCATTGATGCTTATCTCCATTTTCTTTCCAGAATATGGTATCAAGTTTTCGTGTTTCTGAGCTCCAAGTGTTGTTGGGCTTTGCTGGCTCTAATAAAAGCGGGCGGAAGCATGACCTCCTGATGAGGGCACTGCACTTACTGAAGAGCGGCTGCAGCCCGGCAGTTCAGATAAAAATCCGAGAACTCTATAGGCGACGGTACCCAAGGACAGTCGAAGGACTCTCGGACTTATCGCCGATAAAACCTGCGGTTTTCAATTTGGACAGTAGCCCCTCTCCCGTGGAGTCGGACTTGACCCTTGCCAGAATTTTCCCGTCCACGTCGATCAACCCTCAGTCTCCCTCGTCGCCCGTCAGTTCGGTGCTTCTCCAGGACACTAAGCCGCACTTTGAGATGCAGCAGCCATCCCCTCCCATTCCGCCTGTTCATCCCGATGTCCAGCTGAAAAGCCTGCCTTTTTACGATGTGCTTGATGTGCTCATCAAACCTACAAGCCTAGGTAAGTGTTCAGTAGTTCTGTATAGTGCATAAACTGTAAAATAGTGTCACCTAAAGCAACAGTAAGTCCAGGCTTGATGATACGCTTTCTGCAGATGGTAGAAAGTCAAAACTTCCTTCTCATTTCTATGCTTTTTTTCTTATCCTTGCTTCCCCACCCAGTATGGTCAAGCCAGCGTGCAGGAAGCAATATTCTCTTCTATTCAAATATGTAATTGCATATAAACATGAGTGTTTTTTTTTTTTTTTTTTCCTTTTGAATATTAGATGGATTAGATTTGTGTGGAGGACTTGGACCTGAAGTATCCGAGTGGTATGAATGAGCATGCTTGTCAGGGCTCTCAGGAAGTGGATTTTCAGGTTTGGTAGTAAGCTGCTCAGGTAGTAAGCTGGTCAGGAAAATAAAAATCCACTGGTTTGCTAGTTTGCATCTCACTGCAACATTTGTGCAGGTTGTGGCATATTGCACTGAAATACATGTTTTGACTGTACAACAAACGCTCTTTTTTTTTTTAACACATAGTTTAGTGACTGAATCTTAGCCCATCTCTTACATTTTAATCAGTACCGTATGGCAGAATAGATCTTTGTGTTCCAAATAGTTTAAAATCTCATTGAGCTTCCTCAATATGCTCAAAAGAGAAAGGCATCTGAACAATTTGAAAATAGGTGGTTTTCTGTCTTGAATTTCAATCTGCCTTGCCCATTGTATAGAGTAGGAAATGTTCCATAATGATTTACTAATACCAGCTGATTGTAAATAATAGCTCACTGCTCAGCAGCATGAAAAGCGCTTCCATTTAAGAATTCAACATAAGCATTGTCTTCAGTTGGCAGGCGCTGAACAAAATTCAACAGGTTGCCAGTACAGTCTACTTACAACAAATCAGATTGTGATATGGAACCCACCCATCTAAAACAGTTTTTATTCAGAAACGATTGAGCATGGAAGTGATATCTCTTTTTTTTTTTTTTTTTTTTTTTTTTTTTTTTTAATCCTAATTCATTAAGAGCTTTTGAATAGACCCTGGAATCTGAACCCTCTAAGACTTCTTCCTGGGTAACTGAGTTCAGCCAAGTGCTGACTTTTGTTTAGCACTATATAATAACTTTTTTGGGCGGGTGGTCTATAGAAGAGAACCTGCTTCAGACTGTAGAAATACACGTTTCAGTTGAGTATTGTTTTTGAGACCAAAATCTTAATGACGTTTGCTTAATTGCTGTACTTCAGCAGAAGTATACCTTAGTTGCTGTTTTCTGTGCACACATATAATCTGATGCACAACTTTGGAACTGGGGTGTAAAGTCAAACAGGGTAGAAGTGTGTAGGGTAAGTGGGAACTACAGATAAAATGGAGATTCTTGAATTAAATAGCAAAATCAGGCATCAGTGCTGTTTTGCTAACTGTGTTATTCTAACAAATCTTGGAATCTTGACCTTCGTGTAGTTATTATAGCTTTGTTTTCTCAGTAGAAATGCTTTCATCTTTGTCAGCTCTTTGCACCCTCTAAAACAGCTTAGTTTCTTAAGCAATAATAGTATCTTCAAGGCTGGGACTTGTACCTCAGAAAGGCATCTGCTGGTAGACTTCCTCCAGCATCTGAAGGAGCAATCATGGCTTGAAATGCTTGTTGTCACTTCTGTTTACATGTTGTGGCACCCTGTTTGATGAGATTGAAGCAAAAAAAAAGTACATCAGTACAATAGCTGCTTTGGTATCAGACAGCTCTGTAGTTAATGCTGTCACTGCATTTCAAGAGAGAATCTGATGGTGTGCTGATATCCTGTCTTAAATGCTGCTTTTCGAAATGAAAACAAGTTAATATTTCAATTGAACTATTTCAGATGGGGGAAAAAAAAACAGTGTTCTGCACTAAGTTTCCTGTCTAATTAACTTTTCTGCCTGATGAAAGCTAGAGATGGCAGTAATACTTTGAAGAATTTTCCCAGCAGCTGGCTGCTTCTGCTGTGGGGAGTCTTCCTGTTACTGAAAGGAGGGTGCTTCCCTGGGACAGTCACTGAGCTGTAGTTAGTGCGTTCCTCTTTTTCTTCTTAAATCACGGACTTCGTTGCATGTTGTCCAGTCATCATAAGAAGAAAACCTAGTTCTGTCCATTTGGGTTCTCTTTGGAAATGGGAAGGAGGACAAGGATGCTCTTAACTGAGTACTTGCCTTCAACCTCCCAAACCTGAATTATGCCCCTTACAGAACACAGTGCTGAAGAAAGCAGCTGCTGGAGCTAAGCTCAGGGTTGTGCCTGAGGAAGCGTGGGGAAGTGAGATGGGAAGAGGGCCCTCTGTGTGAGCAGCAGTGGGCATTTCTGAGACTAAAAAATGAGCGTTAGCGAAAAAATCACTGTAACAGGGATCGTGAGCAAATTTGAAGATACTTTCTTTGTATAATTTTAGATAGAACATGAATTGTGCATGGGTCCAATTAGTGGGCTTGAGGGATTGAAAAGGACAAACTTACTCATTTTGTATTAGAGAATTAAAGATTAGAAAGCAAATAGGCAGAATAGGTCAGAGATAGGAATATAGTCTGTGTTACTGTGACTCTTTAAAAAGATTCATATGGTTTTGTACTAATACGATAATAAGGAATGTAAGTGTAGATTTTTGCTTTAGCTCTTCAGTAAGAGAGCATTTTTATGGTCTTCTAAAAACATGCTTTTTCTGAAGTGCAAGATGCTACATGTGCTGTGCATCCAAGCACAGAGTAGAACTTGGCTGAGGAAGGTGATGCACATGCAGGTGAATCCTGTTTCACATTTCTATTCTGTGTGTTTTGTATAGAGGCTCTTTTCTTTGCAATTGTCTAACTGGTTGGGTACTTTATTGAATCATTCAATAGACTCCAGAATGAGTCTCATTTCAGGTTAAGATTTCTAATTTTGTCACATCCAGAAGTAGAGAAGGAAGAGATATAAACTGTGAATGCCTAACACTATTGCTTTGTATCAATAACAGCCAAGTAGGATTCTGATGTTAAAGACGATTTTTTTTTTTTTTTTTTTTTTTACTCCTTTCTCCATGTAATTGTAAAGGATCTTCCCAGACAGATAGTCAGATAGTGCAGCTGACTTCTCTAGCTCTGGGGGTTGTTCCCTCCCTCCCCAGAGACAGAGTTAACTGTATCTGGTTTTGAATTAAATAATTTCCAGCTGTCTACTAATAACTCTCATGCACATTCTCCTGTTACTGTCTTAAAATAGTTGTCAGCATCTTGGCTGTTAGGTTGTTTCTCCCTCTCAGGTATCCAGTGTCATATTTTGTTACTTGCGTCCTTCTGATGAAGTGTGAGAATTCTGGGAAGCTCCAGCATATCCTTGCTCCCTGTGAGGACTACAACAGCTTGCCAAGCTGCTTAGTACCCAAGTGCAACATGATATGAAGCCATCTGAATATACTTGGATGAATAATTTGTACCACTGCTTTCCTGTTGGCAGTTACAGGCGGTGCAACAACAATTTGATTATGTTCATAAATGACATGTGCCTTATTCCAGGAAATCTCGGTTATGAATTTTGTGTTAATGATTTCAACCTCTGTGGTTAAACCTCTCTTTCTTTCTTTTTCAGTACAGAGCGGTATTCAGAGGTTCCAAGAGAAGTTTTTTATCTTTGCTTTAACACCTCAGCAGGTCAGAGAAATCTGTATTTCCAGGTAAGTGGGAGGAGTGATACACTAGTGTAGATAACAAAAATCTGTTCTCCTGAAACTTGGCAGAAGGGGCTGGTGGCGGGGAGGGTGTGTGTGTGTTATGGTGTGTATGTGTGTGTGTGTATATGCATTCCATAAGCTTGCAGGTGTGAAGGTGTAATCTCCACAGCAGTTGCACTCAGTAATAGGCTCTATTCATCTGGAACTACTCATCCCAGAATTATGTGCAGTTGGGAGCAATGCAGCACCACTAGGGAGTTGACAGTAACTCAGTTTTAAATAATTTTGGCTATTGGAGAGGAGTTAAAGCTTTTCTTCCCTGTGTGTTTCCTGGCTGAGGTTGTGGAAAGGCTGCTTTTTTTCTCTTCTCCCAGGGTTCAAGTTGCCGTAAGAGCTATGGTGTGAGCCAAAAGAATTCATGGGATTTAGTTCTTCTCTAGCAGGATCGTGCCTTATCACTATGAACCCTTGGTAGAGGATGGTAACCTTAAAGCTGTGTTTAATTTGCAGCGGCTGAAACAGTCAAGACTTTGCCTGTAAGACTTGTTCACAGCTTTCTTAATTAAAAGAGGGGAGAAAGCGATCGGGAGTTTAGTGATGTTGGGCCAGGTCTGCCAGTTCTTTGTGTGTATGGCTCAAATATGAGATTTGCTGTCTAAATGGGTATTTCTGTTTTCTTTGTCACAGGGACTTCTTGCCAGGAGGCAGGAGGGATTACACAGTCCAAGTTCAGCTAAGGTATCTTTTTCAATGTTTGCTTAAAACCTGGCTAATGTGATTGAAGACTTCACATATGTGAATCATTTTGAATGTGCTGCCACTTGAAAATGACACCTCTTCTTTCTGGGGCCCTAGGTTATGCCTAGCAGAAACAAGCTGCCCTCAAGAAGATAATTATCCTAATAGTTTGTGTATTAAAGTAAATGGGAAGCTGTTTCCATTGCCGGTAAGCTTGTTTGTACTTGGTTATAATTTTTTTAATATAATATTAGTTTGCTTAACCTGTCGGCAATTTCTATTGCTAATTCCTTTAGCTCTTGCTGTTAGATATGATTTGTGCCTCTGCCATGCAAGTTTTCCATTACTAGTATTAATTAGGTTACAATTAAGGCTTGCAGTAATTGTATTTCAACCACTTGCAGCAAGCCTGATATGTTGCAGTTAGGACAGAACAATGTCAAAAGAAAACAATGTCTCATGGAGGATTCTCTTTGTAGATCTTCAGATTGAGTCTATATGATTGACAGTTGCCCTATCTGGGTTCATGTATTTGCTTGAGTCTCTCTTTCTTAAGAAAGTTATTACCTCTTGTGAATATGGTGTGTATGCTGTCCTGTATCTGTATTCTAGTGTATCGTGTTGTAAAAGTTGGTGCTTAGACAGGGCCAATCCAAAGTCCGAAAGAAGATGAAGAGGGAAGAGTGCTCATTTAAAAAAAACAAACAACAACAACAACAAAACAACCTTGAGGCGGGTATTGCTGCCCTAGGACAGGGACTTTTTTGCAAACTGTTCTGAAATTGTCCTGGAAGTTACAGAATGTGGAAGATGATAGATGAAAGCACAGAATTTTTCACCAATATTACTGGAAAACAGACTCTGAGAGAGGAGGTGGGAAACCTTGTTACAAGAACACTTCCTTTCTCAGCCGTGTGAGACTCTTTTTTTTTTCTTTCTGCACCACTGAGACCCTTGTTTCTGCTTTCCTTAAATTACTGTCCCTAACTTCTTCCTCTTCTTTAACCATTGTGGCACTGTCTTCTATCTCTTTGCAGTGTGTAAAAGTATCCTTCTGCATATCACAAAAGAGAATTCTTTAATCTGTTCAGCAGAAACTTTCAATGAGAAGGTGAATAAATGACTTGTCCTGGAAATCCCCCCTCAGGTGTGAGCTGAATGACTGATACTGCTTCAACCTGACTGCTGCTGGAGACACTTTTCCCTTTGCTTTAGCCTCACAGTTTTCATCCTTCTGGTGGCTACTCTTCTTTTGCAGGAAATAAATCTTTGCTTCTCAAGCAACTGTTGTCAATCTCCCTTTGCCAACTTGGAAAATCCTTAACAGGCACCGTTCTGGCTTTCCCTGGTAGAGCAGCTGCTGCCTCTGTGTATGTCTGAATTATCCTGTTACTCTCAAAGCTGCCTCCTTAGTTGCACTGCTTGCCAGAAACTTTGGGAAATACTGCCAGTGTTGAGACTGCTGCAGCTTGTGCCAACATCTTACCATGGTGCTTCCTTGTACTCCAACAGCTCTGTGTCCATCTCTTGTAGTACTTGTTCTTACTTAAATGTAGAGCTTTGAATGCTGCTGTCTTGGCCAATATCACAGGTATTGTGTGTAATGCACTACAGCAGCTGATTCTTCTCCTTAGTTCTCCTATGATGAATCTGGGCAAAACGGAAGCCAAAAGTCAAACAAAATGCTTTTTTTTTTTCAGGGAAGCCTCAGAACACAATTGGCTTTTTCCTTAGAAAGAGACCTCAGTCTGCCAAGGAGGATGGACATGGTCACAGGGAAGAGCAATAAGGCTTCCTTTTGTTAGCTTTTTGGCTATAACAGATTCTACCTGCTTTGACTAACAATTTTCTCGCAAGAAGTGGAGAAGGCTAATTTTTGGCATGTGCTAATCACTAGAGCAGGCAGGCTAACCCAACACTCTCTGCTGGTTGTGGTGGGCAAAGAGGATGCTCTACTGGAATCCCATGCCAGAAGGGGAAGATTTTGATGGGTTCTAGGAATACAAGATTGAATCTGACCTCAAGGTGGCTGCTTTGTGCAAGATCCTGTGATCCTCCAGATAAGCTCATTAAGAGGAACTATGATAGAGGAAGGCCCGTCCCACTGCAGCAAAAGTGGTTGAGATTTGTATTCCGTAAATTGCTGCAGCTGTCATGTCTGGTTAGCAAAAGAACAAATCATTCTTTTCAGCATGAAATTCGTCAGCAGTGCCTGCACATCTGCTGTTTCTGTATTCTGTGATAAAACACACCTGCTGGGAGCTATGTTGCTTTTCATCTGGGGCAAGAGCTGTTTTTAGAAAAGTTCTTCAGCAATTGCTGGCCATCACTTTGGTTTGGTGGATCTTGCAGTGGAAGCCACAAGTCCTTGGTTTGTCACCATAAGCAGCATCCTTGTCTGAAGTTAATAAAATGCAGTAATGAAGCGCAGCTAGGAACCAGAGCAGTTTTCCAAACTGCTTTTGTTTACCTGTCATTAGATGGTCATGGTAACATGTTCTACATACCCAGTGGGAAAAGTGATGGTGAAATAATGTATTTTGGTGCTTGTCTGTTATATCTGATTTTTTTTTCTGACTACTTTTCCAGTCATTCTTTTTCAGAGCATTAGATTACAAATATATTTTTTTTGTAGGTGAAACAATATTCTTGTCTCAAGTCTGAAATTCTTCACCAAAGATTAGGGAAAGTTAAGCAAACAATACCCAGTTTATTTTGTTTGTCAACAGCAAAAAAAGAAAAATCCTATTAGCTGTTAAATACACTTGGTATTCCAAGTGCAGCTTATCTTCAGGGAGCTGGCCAAAGTACAGATGGCTGCTTGCTGAGGTTGATGCAGAGTCAAAGCAGAATCCTTATAGTAGCATCTTTTCTCTTAAGTTAGTCCTTAGGCTCTGAAATTCAAGCAGTGATGATGTCTAGAGCTGATGCAGAGCTCCTGGTGTGAGACTGGGTTGTGTTTCTTGAAAAGAACCACTGAGTTCAACCCTTGATGACTTGTGTTTGCCTCTCATGAAGTTTGTCTTTGTGGGGCTCTGATGTCTGAGGAGTGTGGAGTGCAGGGAGGACAAAGAATCAGCATTGCTTTCTAGTCTTAGAGTAAACTTACCTGGACTCAGACTGTGTTTTTTCCATTATTCTGGCATTTCTGTAAAATCAGTTTTAAACCCCAAATGCTGTGACCTTGATTCCTTTGCAGTTTGAGACTGTCAAAGACTGATTGAAGGAACTGTCAACCTCAGTATTCCTACTTGATCCTAGAGACATTCCTGTTTTCCCCAACCCTGCCTAAAGGCAGCAAGGCTGTTTCAGCAGGTTCCAGAGCTCAGTGGGGAGAGCTAGTAACACTTTCCCTGCCTGTTCTTCCTGTAGGGATATGCTCCACCGCCAAAAAATGGGATTGAACAGAAGCGACCTGGGCGCCCCTTGAACATAACATCTCTAGTGAGGTTGTCGTCTGCGGTACCAAACCAGATTTCTATTTCCTGGGCTTCTGAAATTGGAAAGGTAAGCAGGGCAGTTGGGAATATAGACAGAAATGTGAATAACCTTCCTGTTCTCTCTGATTCCTGATGTTGCTGGCAGTGCATCTGCCAATAAGTGTTTATTAATAAAAGTGGATTAAATTATTATGAATTCCAGGAAATTAAGTTAGCTCTAGAAGTGTGATTGTTTGTAAAACATACATAAAACTTCCCTGCAGCCCTCACATAGAAGAGGAGTGTAGGTTCCCAGGCTCCTTTTAAGTATAAGAGCTTTATAAGTAGGTTCCCTATTGGGGATTGCCTGAAATATATAAATATGGACAGCATGTGTTAGATCTTGAAGTCTTTTTAGGGAGTAAATGGTATCAAATGACTCAGACGTGACAAAAGTAACAAAAAGGGGAGCAATGGGAGTACTAAAAGTAATATTAATGTAGCCATACCTTCAAAGGTAAATTTCCCAACATCTGTTAGAACAGGCTTTTTAAAAGGACCAGATGTGCCAAGGCTCCAAGACTGTTGGAGTATGGGTGTAAACATGTATCTCAGAGTCTTCCTATTTTCTAATCTGATGATGATGATAAACTTGACAAAACCAAATTTAGCTTCATAAGAACTGTTAAATAGGTATTTCCATCTTCATTCTTTTGAAAAATCCTCCTTCCTCAAAAGAAAATGGCCTGAGTTGATTAAAACTATGCCTGTAAAAACCAAAGCACAGGTGAAACTTCCAGAACTTCAGTTCAAAAAGCTCTTAAGTTAGTGTTTAAGTGGCTGAATAGCTGCTTAGATGCTCCTCCCGAATGGTTTAATGAGAAGGCAGTGAAGGATGGGGTGTGTGTGTGTTTTGTTTTTTCTCCCCCCCAACCCTCCCCTTCATAAGTTTAAGTAGTAGTTCCTTGCAACTGTTGCTAAATAATGGTTTACGTATTTTCAGTCTTCGGCTGTTTTTGTAGGTCTCCTGGACTCAATTATCAAAAGAGCCTTTGATTTTCCTGTAAGAAGTGAAAGGAAAGCTGTATGAACTGGCCATGTGCCTCGAAGTGAGGTTTCAGTGTGAACTTCATATATGAACTTTATATATAAAAATATAGCTATCTGAACAGACTGAAGCTTTAAGGAAGGGGGCGGGAGGGAAGTTGGTATTCCAAAAAGGAATGAAGGGGTAGTGCTGACAGCACAGATTCCCTAAAAGAGAAGGGAGGAATATTAAAAAAAGATTTAAGAGATTGACCATCCTACCAATAATAAGAGATGAGAATCTTGAAATGACTGCAGAAAGTATGAATTTGGCTTTTTCCTGCTGTCCCTATGCTCTCCTCTGCATCCACCTAAATACATTCCTATGCAAGCAAATAAATGGGTGGTTGCCCTGCAAATTGTTGGTGTCTTTGGACTGACAGTGTCTTGGTTAGTGACACTGAAGAGAGCATGAACACAGCAGAAAGAAAGCTGGCAAGTGGCATAAATTTGGGAGAAGTCATAAATACTTGGGAAAACACCTCTCCTCTTAGGCTGGCTGTGTCTGAGCTTTGTTTAAAAACAGAGAGTGAACTAAACTTGGTTTAAAAGTGGAGAGTGAACTACAGGAAAGGCCCCAGTACAAAGGAACTGGTGCAGTTCTGTAGCATGTGAAGGCATTGTGCTTGCACCTGGAAAAGCTCATCTGCTCTTTACAACACATTTGCCTTTGAGCTCCCCAGTTCCAGAACAATACTGGCTAAAAGAAAGGATATAGGAGAGAAACACAATAAGTTTTTGAAGGCCGCATGCATAAGAAGGTGGGTCTCCAACTCCTTTTCAAGAAAAGCTCAAGTTGTCCCTTAGGTTATAACTGGAGCAAGGCAGTAACTGGAAATGGTTAGCAGAAGAACTTGGGCGGAGTATGGGACTCCATTGTAATGAAGTCACCTGTTAATGTTATTTCAATATGACCATCAAGAAAAAATGAAAAAAGCATAGTTTTGCTTTTACTGTGTGCTAGAACTGTGGTAAATACTGAGCTGTTGCTGTAGTGGGAGTGTTGTGTTAAATAACTCATTGCCTTTTTTTTTTTTTTTTGTAGAATTACTCCATGTCTGTGTATCTCGTTCGTCAGCTTACTTCAGCTATGCTTTTGCAGAGGTTAAAAATGAAAGGTATCAGAAACCCCGACCATTCCAGAGCACTAAGTAAGTCTGATCCATTTTCCTGTTTGTGCTTCTTGAGGGCAGTTAGAACTGGTAATGCTCAGACTTGGAGCAGTTTGGGGATTGGGTGGGGAGTAGATGAGAAGTTCTCTTGCTGTTGCTTAGTTGTCACGCAGTGATTCACTGTAGGTCCTTGTACTAGCAGGCACCCCTAGAGGACCCTGCTGAGGTGTTTTTACAGGAATAGAGGGAGCACAATTTGCTGTGGAGGGCTGTGTGATATAAAGATGCTCTAAATATGTGTATTTCCTTCCCTTGTATGTGATGCTGATGATCCTGTCTTTATGCTTCACTCACTGATAACTGCTTTTATTCATCTCCTTGTATGTTGAGTAGAGTCTGCTCTACTAACTGTTGTGGCTCTTGGTGTGTTTGCTACACATCACAACAGTCTTAATTCTTGCAGTGTTGGTTGCTTGCCTTGAAGCCCCTGTTCATTTGGTGTTTCCTAGATGCTTACTTTTTTAGGTACTGGAAACAAAAGCTTGTGTACTGAAGAGTTGAGAGTAGCATTTTAAATAATGGAGGTGTCTGTGTGTAACTAATTGTGCATATTAAAATTTATTTCAATAGTTAAAGAAAAACTAACTGCTGACCCTGATAGTGAGATTGCCACAACCAGCCTGCGGGTATCTCTGATGTGTCCTGTAAGTATGTTTTCATTTTCAGTGCAAACTGAGCTGATTTCAAAAGGCCCTGCTTTTCCAGCTGTTAAGCAATTTTTGCGTATAGACTGCTGCTTAAATATAACATGTGGGGAGAAGGGTCCCTCTACAAGCACCTGATTGTAGCAGCCTTCAACCAACCGTGATTTAGAACTATGAATTCCTGAACTTTACTACAAACAGAATCAGGTTGTTACTTACACATGTATTGTGACTTTAATTTGGCAATACTGAGGCATTGAGACTATTTACACAGGGTGGTGGAGGGGCACAGTGGGTAAGAAAATTCTTACATTGCCAAGAAAAATAAGTTGATGAATTTGTAAAAATTAAAAGCTGCCTTGAATTCTCTTCCCAGTTAAAAACTGGTCTTATATTAGTGACTGGTCAGTTAAGTGCAATTCTGTGTCAAAATTCAACTGGAGTTCACAAAAAAGAAATATTTGGCTAAAAGGAAATGATAAAGTGAGCATTGCAGTAGTTTAGTAAAAATAAAAATCATAGAAATAATATTGATATAAAACTAGTGGAGACTGCTGCAGTCTGATCTGAAGTGTTTCTGGTGGACCTCAGCTTTGAGGGCTGCTCTCTTCTTCCTTGGAGAAGGCTGTGTGCTGGGATAGGGTGCATTGGCAGCCAAGGCCTGGAGCTACAAAAGTACCACCTTTGTAGTGAGAAGAGTCTGTTACCTCCCTGAGTGTGTTTGGTTTCGTGATTAGCCACCAAGGCCTATTTGCTTTTCTGCTCTCTTGACACTCTTTTAATGCATCTTCTGCAGCTGGGGAAAATGAGACTGACAATCCCGTGCCGGGCTGTTACTTGCACGCACCTGCAGTGTTTTGATGCTGCTCTTTATCTTCAAATGAATGAAAAGAAGCCTACCTGGATTTGTCCGGTCTGTGATAAAAAGGCAGCTTATGAGAGCCTGATATTAGATGGGTAAGAGTGGGTCTGCAGGCTACAGATTTTTTTTGTGAAGGTTTTCCACAGTGTACTTGGTAGTTAGTATTGAGACATTGGATTTTGTCATTTCTAACATAGTTTCTTTCTCAAAATCTGCCAGTCTGGAAGGAACCATTAGAATCCTTTAGTTACTATTCCTGTGTAACAAAGTGGATAAACTCACTCCTAATTGCATCATTAAACTTTTTGATATATAGCCTGTCTCCTTTGGAGATATCTAAATTTCTCATGTAGGGATGAGATGGTCTTCCTTTTACACAAATTATCGCTATGAAGCTTTTGGACATGATTTTTAAATCATAAAGAATGTCAGCCTCTTGTAAAAGATAATGACTTCAAATTATGTAAAAGATGATAACTTTATATGAAGAAGTCTATGAATTGGCAATAATGTTTGAGCTGAATAAGGGTAGACTGTGATCCTCTCTAGATTTCTGCCCATGGGCTTCTGCAAAGACTAATGGGAGTCCTTCACGTAAGATGAATTAGGAGACCACATGCTGTGGTTCAGGGTTCCTCACAACTAGCTTTGCAGCTATTTGTTTTTTGCTTAGCAGAAGACTGGAATCAAAATCAAAGCAACTTTTATTTTGCAGGCTTTTTATGGAGATTTTAAATGACTGTTCAGATGTGGATGAGATTAAATTCCAAGAAGATGGTTCCTGGTGTCCTATGAGGCCTAAGAAAGAAGCTGTGAAAGTCTCCAGCCCACAGTGCACCAAAATTGAAAGTACGTGAACCTGGGTCGCCAGCCTACAGAAAAGCTTCACGTCTTATAGCCTTTGTAGCTGGAATAATGTGTATGGATAATGTTTTGTGGGACTGTGTGTGCATGTGCTAAGTTGAGGTTCTGGGTCTAAAAGTGTTTTCTTTTTTTATAATGCTTGAGAAAATAAAAGCTTTTAAAAAGTTCCTTAAATTGATAAGTGAAGATTAAAGCTTGTGCTCACTGCTCTTATTGTGACACAGTGCTATTAGTAAAACTATCCCTGGACCTTATATCCTCTCTAGTGGTCAGGACTAGCTAAAACAGGATTTGAGATTTTTTTTTTTTTTTTTTTCCTGTTTTGAGTTGAAACTGCTCCTGTTGACAGCCTTTACTGAATGGTGACGTTTTACTTTCATGTTTAGGTTCCAGTGTTGTTAGCAAACCATGTGCTGTGACAGTGGCCAGTGAAGTAAACAAGAAGAAAGTTGATGTTATTGACTTGACAATAGAAAGCTCCTCCGATGAAGAGGAAGATCCTCCTGCCAAAAGGAAGTGCATATTTATGTCTGAAACACAAGGAAGCCCAACCAAAGGGTTTGTCAGTTTTCAAGTTAGTTGTTGTTCTGTAATGTCTCAGACAGTGATGTGTATTCCAACGAACTTGCACTCTCTTCGGGATCCAGCTCTTTGTTTCCAGAGGTGACTTTTTAGGCCCCTTCTAGAAGGTAGAAGATTGTATTGATACAGAACCTTTGTACAGGCAAGAAGTTTTTGAGTAGTTTTACATCTCACAAAAGGCTTGCGCTGACTTGCTGTGTTTGCAGGAATGTTTTCCCTAGAAAAGGAAACAGTTTGACAGTGCTTTCTTTAAGCTGGCTATTCCTAGTGCAGAAGCCTTAGGCTTTTTTGCCTAAGGTAGTGTTGTCTATAGGCCATGGAAAAGCCTTTTTAATAACCTTTATCTGCTCTGGCTGCCAGTGACTGGGCTCTGTTGCATGTTTCATCCATCTTGTCCCTCTTGGAAGGGAGGCTTGCTGCTCTTCTGAGTTGAGATGCAAGTTTTTCCTCCATCACCCTGTGAACTTTTGAGTAATATGTGGTAATTGGCTGTGGTTGAGTCCTGTGCCTTTGGTTATAACAAACCACCTCCCAAGCCTTCTAAACTTTGTGATTAAGTCTGGACTTGACTGGCTAGAGGCCAAAGAGCTGCTTTACTTCTCTGCCTTCTCCTGTCCCAATTCTGTCCAATGTGGCTACAGCTGCAGTTTGTGGCTTCTTGTAAAGTTGCTGCTGTCATTGCACAGGGTATAAGGGACCTACATGTGAGGGGTGTGTCTGTTTCTCAGTGTGGTGGCTTGTCTCTTTTAAAATAGTAATAAACCTTCTGTTTTACCATCTCTTGACATGGTAAGCAGGGGTGCTGCATCTCATTCCTCAGGAATGTGTGGTGTCTTGGCAAGCAAATAGTTGGGTCTTCAGCAGTTCTCAGTGGTGGTACTTGAAATGCTGTTTCTCGTGAAGACAGCATGAGTCCTACAAGAGTCCACATTTTTAAAAGACAAAATAGCTGCAAATAGCACATCTGTTAATGAAGTTTCAGAAGGCACCAAGATTTCCTTGCATAACACTGCTCCTGTGTTTGAGATGACTGTGTGACTGTAACTGTAGAAGGACTGTTTTCTTGTGTTATCTATTACTGGTGTATTTTTTCTTCCCGTTTGAGTATGAAAATGGCATTTTTTTCATTCTTCAAATGTAAGACCAAACCAGGCCTTTGGCAAGGAGTTCATTTTCTGTAAACAGTGCTGCCTGAGTACCAGTCTCTGCAGAATTGTGGATGTCCTCCTGTAGGCAAAAGTGCTTGAGAAGGGAGGATCCCAAATGGGGCTTCTGAAATCAGAGGCAGCCAAATGTAGGTATGTAGCAGTTTGGCAAGGAAGGAGTGGTACAACCCACTGCTGGTGGGCTGAGAGACATGGAACAGTTGTGAAGGGGATTCTTGGGTGTTTCCATGGGTTTTACTCATGGTGCTCTCCTGGAGAGCTGCCCTTCAGCCTGGGCTCAGGCTGCAAGTAGACATGGGCTTGATCCTTAGCTCTGTGTTAACATACTTGGTGTGGCAGGGTAGTGCTGAGGAGCACCTATGTGGAGAACTTTAACCAGGTGTCCTCCTCTTGGCTCTGGCTACCAGTCTGTCCCTCCCAGGGTGCTCTACAAACAGCCACTTCTGTTCCTGGGTGGCAGAGTGTGTGAATGACTCCAGCACTGTCCTCTGTTTAATGCCAACTTGCTGTTATGTCACAGCTGCTGTTGAGAGCCAAGATACAGTCATGTTACAACGAGGACTGTTGTCAAAGAGAAGATTAGTGAAGTGCTGTGTAGTGAGTAGCCACTCGTGTTGTGACATAGTGAATGAGAGTGCACAATGGTGCCTAATTTGTCTTCTGTAACTAATGACCAGGTTGTTTCTCATTTCCCATGCTGTTTAAAACAGGGTTCTCATGTATCAGCCATCGACTGTAAGAGTGCCCGGTGCGACAACGGTTGATGCTGCTGCTATTCCTCCTTCATTAACAGACTACCCAGTACCATTTCATCATCCACCAATATCCAGTATTTCATCGGACTTGCCAGGTAAGTGGTGACTGTTTTTAATGCATATTCTGAGACAGCCTTATTAACTTGTGGGGTGGGTTAAAAAAAAAAAAAAGAGAGAGAGAAGAATTGTTCTTTTACTGGAACAAGACTGTATGAAGTACTGGCCTAATGCAATGTCAAGACAAGTCTAGGAAAGGCAGGTTACGTGACTGTCTTTCCAGTCTCAAGAGTTTGCTCTTCAAAACTCTGGTGTCAAAAAACACTGCCTCTGGCCTATACCAGAAATGCTTCTTGCTGTATTCAGTTAGACTTTATATGAGCATCTGATTGTTGCGTGTCATAAACCTCAGGGAAAGTAGCTGCTTATTTTTGCTATAGAACTGGCACCAACTCTTCCAGGCCCTAGATATAGAGAAATTCTGCTCGCTAATTCTAGTGGTGATCTCTGTCTAGACTGTATGAAAAAGCTTAAGGTGAGCTACAATATGTAAGCTGACCTCTATTGACTTTCTTTACCTAGACATACCCTAATTGCCTATGATGTATTCTTCAACACTGCTGCTAAGTATCAGACAAAAGGTGGGGATACTGATTATTTTCTCTCCTGGCTCCTTCAAAAGAATTTTGTAGATAGGGACTCCAGGGTTTTCCACTGGCTGTAATGAGCCCAGAGCCTAGGAAATGGTGACTTGACAGCAGGCATCAAACTGGACCTTGTGTAGTTCCCTTCTGCTGTTCCATTGCCTCTCCCCTCAGTAACACCCCTGGCTTCTCATCCTTCAGCATCAGTTTGGCTATAAGATGGTTTCATTCCTTTTGTTTCTCTGCCTTCTTTGGTTCCCTTTCTGCTCCCTCCCTCCACTTCTTCCTTGTCCAGAAACACATTGCCTCCCTAAACTGGACAGCAGAGTAAGCTGAGGGATCTAGGACTGTTTTGTTCATCTGTTATCTAAAGTCCTAAAATGTTTTGGAACCCAAAGAGCTGTGAATGCTGTAAAATCAGCTGAATTTAATCTCCTTTAAATTTCTTCGTACAAGGGAAGCAGAGATGCTGCTGTCCAGATTTGACAGTGATGGGGAGGGTTTATCACTGTTTAGTTTATCACTTTTCTGTTGACATGGCAAACACAAGGCCAAGATTTAGAAACAAAGGCTATGATTTCTCAATGACTATATTTTTAAGCATTGTGCCTTAAATGCTTGCACATTAATGATGTGTAATTTGGACGCTAGATGTCACTACTCTTGGAGGATATACCTTGACCTACTTGTAGTTTCCTCTTCTTCATTCCTTTTATTTGTCTAGACACAAAACAGGGATGATTAGATATATTTCCTTATTGGCTGCCCATGGGTGGAGGAAGAGACCTGCTGCTTGTTTTTGGACTTGTGCATGTTGTGACTTTACTTCCTTCCAGCATCTTTAATGTGATGACATTCTTCATGTCCCAGTTTGGCCAAGTCAGGTACAATATGCAGTGAAATTTGCATTATGAACCAACAGCTCCAACTGGCAACCTCCATCTAAGCAACCATACTGAACCACCCTGCAATATCCAGTGAATAATAATGCATCATTATGTCATTTTCATTCTAAAAAGAACCACTTGTGCTAGATAACTCTTTGCTGCTGCCTGAAGTAGTCCTTGAGAGTGGTGTGACGGTGGTGTACTTCATTTAGAAACTGTGTAACAAGTGCAGAATGTATTCAACAACAATTTCTGAAAATTGTGTCACCAGGAAATGACTTAGCAGAAAGACACATCAATTTTCCTTCTTTTCTTTCTAGGTCTGGATTTTCTTTCACTAATCCCAGTTGATTCACAGGTATGTTTCTGAACTGCAGTGGGGCTTGGTTTTTAAATCTTATTTTCACAACATGCTGTCTTAAGTAATATCAGGATGCTGTCATCACCTGTATCATGTTTGCAATCCACTTGGCGCAAAAAAAATGCGTTTCCCGAAGTAGAGTTGATAATAGAGTTAAGGTAATAGAATAAGGACTTAATCAAGGGAAGATGCATAAGTAAATCCACAAGAAAACCTCTCTGGTGGTTTGTGTTGTTAAAGGAGATCCTTGCATAGTACTGGCTTGGATGCAGCCATCAGGATTGTTCTGCTCTTAGTTTATGTTGTGTATTTAAAGGCTAGTCTTTAGATTATTTTGACACTTCCTAAATCCAAAGTAACCTTTCCTGTAGGTTGCCTTTCCTGTCTTGGAAATGCAAACTTTAAATTAAAAAGTTAGGAAAAATGTTTCCTACTGTAATTAGATTCTCACTGAGAGATCTTCAAGAAAGGGAAGTATTAGCTCCATGCCTAAGACAGCAGGATCTGAAGCTGGCCCTCTGTTTCCTCTCTGGGTCTGTCACTGGAAAGACAACATAATGGGACATTATAGTGGAGCTCACATTCTGGTACCTTAAGGATGAGCTTTATCCTTTTTCTTTCCCCTTACTGCATCTTGCTCTGTGCCTGACCTGGATCTGAGCTGTCCAAGTAGGAAAACCAGAAGTCTGTTTGTTTGGAGCCTTCAGGAGAAACTGTGGTGCTACAGAGTGCCCATCTTGAACAGTTCAAACAGATCAGGCTCAGTTCCAAACATACACAATTCCAAATACACATTCTAAGATGGGAATCCACAAGGTAAGAAAAGTTAAGATGCGTTGAACTCCATGCAGGGAAGACGTCATGCAGAGAAGACCTTTAAGACCTCATTAAGATTCTCCTCTTCCATGACACCTGAGCAACCTCTTTCAGCTTCTAAATCCTTGGGGTGTTCAGCTTTACTCTTGGAAGGCTTATCTTCCATTTTAGAAAGTATAAATTAATCAAATTTGCAGCTCATTTGTCACCACTAAAATGTTTAGAGGCTTGGATACATCATTGCAGGCAGTGACACATGCTCTGCAAGTGGGGACTAGCTGCCACTGTGAAGTTACTATGATTTCTGAGCGAGCAAAGAGCATCCCATTACATTTTTCAGGCTCCTTTCATCCCAAATGTAACTGTGCCCTACAATAAAAATGCTGCTTTTTATTTTTATTTTTTTTTATTTTTATTTATTTTTTTTTAATGGTGATTATGTGATCATGCTGGTGTTCCCTTATGAGCCAGTAAATGCTCCAACTAACTACCTGTTAGAAGATGGGGAAAATGAGGGAAAAAAGGGTTGTAACTGCCCTCTGTGCTTGCTTGCTTGCCCGTTTGTAGAACTTGGGGTCTTGCCACGCATGTTTGGATGAGATTCTGCTGGTAACTTGTGCTTGTTGTAGGGAAGATGTATCTTCAGAGCATACATTTCCCTTGTGCAGTTAGTCTCCTCATTCTTCATTGTTTGTTTCAAGCAGTACTGTCCTCCTATGTTTTTGGATAGTCTCACCTCAACCTTAACAAGCAGCTCGCCTGGCAGCATCATCACCTCCACCAGTCACCACGAGAGCAGCACTCACGTTAGCTCCTCGAGCAGGAGCGAGACCGGAGTCATAACCAGCAGCGGAGGCAGTGCTCCCGACATCATCTCTCTGGACTGAAACACGGGGCAGGTAGCATGGGACGCCAGCAGGAAGGGCACAGCTGCCTGTGTCTCTGGAACTGCAGTGTCTGGGAAGTTATTCTGGTATTTATTGAAAAGATTTTGCCTTTTGGAGGATGGAGTAAATTCATCTACACTAAGAACAGAAGTACTTTAGATTTTTTTTTTCCTTGTTAAATAGCTGGTAAGAGAAAAGGCCCCTTTAGAACCTGCTTTTACATGTTTTACAGCTGGGGAAACTGATTTTCTGTTGCTGGATGGAGTCCAAAATAGCTTTTAATTTTGTTGTCAAAACAGCAATAATGTAAAAAAGAAAAGAAAAAAAATCCACCTCCAAAACAGAACTTTTTAATTAAGAAAAGGCACTTAACTACCCTAGAACACCACCAACAACCACCCACACAAAGGTGCAGAAATGTGTGCATTGGTGATTTTCTAATATCTTCAACTGAGGCCTGTAGTAAACTTAATTTAAGATGGCGAAGGTTTGTGAAACAGCCATGGCTTATGTTTTGTACTTCTCTTACTCCTTTCTTCTTCCTGATCTGGAAGGAGTAAGAAGCCTCTGTAATTGCATTGGCTATTTTTTTAGTTTAGTTTTGTTTTCCTGATTTCATGTTCTTCACAAATGCAACACTCTGCTAAACTGACTTCTTTCTCTTAATGGTTTTGGGGCTGGAAAGGGGATAAACTAACTATGCAAACTATGCATTTTACAAACCATCACTCCACAACTGGTACGCCCTCCTCACCAACCTCCCTACCCTGCAGCAGCTACCAGCACCACTGAGCTACAGCTGATGCTCTGGCCTGGCAACTCTCAGGAAGTGCTAGGAAAAAAACTACTTGGTTTATTACAAAATCCTTGCTTGTCCTTACTGTAAATACCATGCCCCATCAGATCACTAAAGTGAAGTGCATGCTCTATATGGCACCTGTAAGGAGACAAAGTCTCTCTCCTACTTCACCCAGTGCACATTTGTTTTCCAGGAGGTTTTGGAGTCTTCTGTCACTTCACCAACTGCTCTGTCCTCTTGGGAATAGTGCAGTTTGACAGGCTGTAGTGGACACTTTTTGGAAGACAAATAGATACATACTCTTCCCACCAAACTTGCAGCTACAAGTTCAGGGTTTAGCAATGTGTCCTGTTATTAGAGCCATCTAATCAGGGCTTTTCTAGTCAAACTGAAATAACTTCCTCCTCTTCAACCCCTCTGAAGCTGCTGTTTCGGTCAGTGTATGCAGTGCTTCCTCACACTGCATGCACCCTTTTCTAGGGGATAACCCTCCTCCCTGCTGTCTGGGGAAGGAGTTAGACCAGGAAAATCAGATCTTTTCCATAGAACTGAAATAAGTATTGTCTGTATATGTTGACATAGCAACTTTTCCAAGTGTTTCTGTTGAGTAACTGTATTTGAAATTACTCTTTCGCAGCTTTCAGTTTTCTTCAATCTTGTGTTTCTTTTCTATTGTTTTAGTCTGAGATGTTGGTGCTTTTTTGCCTTCTGTTACTGTTACAGTATTTGAGCTAAGTACATGGATAAGAAATATTGAAGCAGGATGTAGTGTAAGTTTTGTCTGCCCTGTATTCCCACCCTGAACACTGCACTACTCTTCCTTATTGCCTTTTTTTGTATGACCCTTTACACCAGTCTTCAATTCATATGTTGGTCTTAATATTGCATCTACTCTTTGTTCTTTCCCTCCTGTGTTCCTTTTTTTCCTACCTGTTAAAAGGATCAATTTTTTAGCATGATTTATTTCTAATAAAGCCATGCTACTCATGAGGTTTTCTGCCTAATGGCCTGCAGCTGCTCAGTGCTGTTTGCATCACAGTTGTACAGTAAATTGAACAAGAAGAGTGCTGAGAAGCCATTCTAAATAAAATGCTTAAAACTGGGCTCTGTTACTGAATATGCTATTTGTGCTGCTCATCAAGGTGAGACACAGGCACATGCTGGACTGGCTGAAAGGACCTGTCTCACATACAACTCCTAGTGTATGTTGTATGTGTGGATTGGTTTATTTTTGGACAAGTGCTCTAAAACAGCCCTACTATTATAAAATATAGAAACTCTAACCAAATATTTACTAACTACTGTAGCCTGCTAATGGTTACTTATCAGGCTTAAGCTATGGGCTTTTGAGCACAGCTTCAACTGCCTTTAGTCTTACATCTTCCAGACTTGTGGCAGCAGTAGCAGAAACAGACTTGAGTCCTGATTTCAGGAGAGGGCTGGAGATGTTTATAGGCTGTGGTGTGAAGTGCTAAGGTTAAACAGTGTAACTCTACTATTACACCATTGTACACGTGTTTATTAGTCTTAATGTAATCCATGTGATACTGTAAGTGATGTGCATGAAATGCTTTGAGTACTGCCTTGCAGCCCTTTCACCCATCTACTAAGGCTTCTTCCTGAAGATAACCCAGACCTTCAGCAGGGATGGGCAGAAAGGAGATTGGAGTCAACACTTAAGGCCCCTCTTGTGTGTTTTACTCTGAGTAAATCCAACACTTGGATATGGATGAATTACAACATTGCTTAGGGAAAAAATATTATGTGCTGCAGTCTAACCGAGAACTTCAAGCATGAGAAAATCTTGAAGACAAGGCTGGACTTCTTTCCTTCCCGTATCCACTACAGAAACACCTGGCTAGAAGTTTAACTATGTCAAAGCTACTTTCAAACCAGCTGCAGAAGAAAAGGGAGGCTGAGGTGAGAACCAGGGATTTCTTACCACCTGCCTGGCTGATCAACAAGGTGGCTATGCTGGACTTTCTGGAAGATAAGTGAGCTGCTTCAAGATAGTCTGCTAAATAGCTACTTGTAAGAAGGCTGTACTCACTCCTCTGAATACTGAGTAGCTCTCTGTACTCTGTTGTACAACTAAGCATTGTCCAAGGTAACTGAGCCACCATCATCTTTGCTGATCAGTGGTAAGGTACCAGCTATGCACCTTTGTCACAGGTCTTAGTGATGACAGATGCAACGTGAGCAAAAATAATTTTGAAAGTCAAATTAACACTTTTTATTTTTTAATCACAATACACTAGACTGTGTGTGTATTTAATGTGATACTGAAAACTTCTCATTTCCTTCATAGTTTTATGAGGAAAGATGATGGTGATGAGACTGGTTATTGTATCACACAACATCAAATGGAGGATGCGGTTACAAGTTACCTAGGAAATTATCCAGAGGTGGAATACTCTCCTTCAAGCCTTTGTGCTTACATATTTCAGCCACAAATTGCCAAGGACGAGAATTTGTTGTAAAGATTTCCAGGCAGAATCTGCCTGTGATCAAAGATGCACCATGGAAAAGCCAGGCCACCAGTGTTGGATCTCAAGTCAGCAGTGAAACCTAAGGGGAAGGAAGGAGGAAAAAAGGTTAAATTACAAAAATAAGTTTGTGTTATTGTGAATCTTTGCACAGACATAAATCCCCAAGAACGTTCTTCTAGAACCTCCATGTTCCAGATAATTATTTCAAGTAAGTAAAAATGAAGACAACTCTTTGGAGCTGCAGAAAGACCTCCTGTAAAATGAGGACTAAGCTGAATGTAATTCAGCTTAGCTGAAAAACCATGTGGGAAAAGTTTTATTTCTCACATAATGTAATATAGTTCTTCTCCCTTTATTACAAAGGCAGATGCTGCAGAAGTGGAAGAAAGAAGTGTGTTCTCATAGGAGGAGAGAGGGGCACAAGACTCATCAACAAACTGTAAGGCTTGGGGGAAAAAAGCCTTGTACCACACTGAAAAGTTGAAGTTTCAGGGCAAGAAAGGAAGGGGCAGATCTAACATTTTATCAGAAGTAGTTGTTAAAGATGGGAAAGAAGTTGAAATGCTGTTTAAACCTCTCTGGCTCACAGTCTAAGTACTGAAGTCAGTATAAAATATTCTGGTCTGCTATCACTGCAGTGTAATTCCTTTCATGCAGCTTGCTTCACAAAAAGGTCTTTTTTAAATGGTGGAAGCAGAAGCTGGTGAGCACTTGGAATTCTTAATTTGTAGCAGATACTGCACATAATCTTTCTGACACACTCTGCTTACCTGAAAGCTCAATGCAGTTGGCTGCCAGAAACGAAGGAGGCAACTAATTGTTCTAAGTGAATTCTACTTCTTAAGTCAATTTCATCCTGCCAAGTTCTTTCCTCAACTGCAGGTGGGTAATAGAAAGAGCCATCTTAACCAACTGGCTTACTGATGGATAGGTTTGCCTTGACCACGAACACTGGTGTCCCTCCCACTTAGGGTTCTTCAAAAACATGTCCACATTTCATGTTCAGAACACTGGATCCCACCTACCACTTGTTCTGGGCACTAAAAAAATAAAGCAAAAATAAAACAACAATGAAAGCAACCACCTAAGTTGCATGTAAGCTAACTCCTCTGCCTCTCGTAACCGCACAGGCTTCAGTTACTGAATACACTCATTTACAGTTCACACATAAGTGAGTCAAGGAGCTGCCTACAACCACCTTCTGGCAAAACAAAGCAGAGTTCTCTGTCTCTGTGCAGCAAATGCAGTGACTATGGGAGGCTTTCACCACACATCATCTTAGAGATCACAATGTGACTGATCACATGACATGATAAGTGCTGTGATAAAACATATATATATATATGTGCACAAATAGGCACTTCAACATACTAAGTTTGGACAACCCCCTCCTTTGTCAGGATAGGTCTCTCAGATCTTAGCAGTGAGAAAATTCTCCATTTCCATGTGTTAGCTTTATTTGCATTCATCTTCAGACCTCATGGCTATGACATTTCCAAGCAACTGAGCTGGCAGATCTCCTGCCTGTGATCCAGCAGCGCAGTCTAGAATTAATTTTTAAAGCAAATTCTACATCTTCTAATCACTGCTAAGACAGTTAAGACAAACTGACAGATGAATAGTTATACTTGGGAGTAAAATCTTCTAGCTTAGAACGTATTTCCAAGGCTTCTTTGTGGAAGAATCTCATTTACCAAGAAACTACAATTATTTGAGTA